AAAGCCCATACATGATCATAATGACTTGTATGAGTCCGTTCCCATAGAGGACACTAATAATGAATATCAATTGCCAGCGGACATAATGCCCATTTGGAGAAAAAATATCAAACAAATAAATCATCTGCTGGTTCCAGGTATCCCTTTGAAAATTCCACCAATGAAAATTTTACGAATATGTCTGAATTTCTTGTATATAACAATGCCAAGCCAAGTTTGCACTTCCTCATAAAGACCCACAGATGGGAGAAAGAAGAAGATAATATAATTGCAGGAAGTAATACAGTAAAGAGACATTCAGTTACAGACACTCTCCAACTTACGATTGAGTTAGGTTCCAGAAGTCCGTTCGTAAGTAGAATTGTTTGTAAGTTGTGCTTAGGTTAAAAAAGTATTGTACAGTACATACATATGCAGTATTGTATAATACTTAGGCTAAAGACACTTCACTACTACATAAAACGTAAAGTACACAGTATTAATGAATTTTAATACAGTAATAATACAAAACTACAGTAATACATACATTAATACATGGGTAGATAATGGGTAGTTTTTTGTTCATATCTGTGAATGTTCTCAAGTAGGGGAGCTTTTGTATACCAAAGAAAGGGGATCAGGTGGGGGACAGTCAGAATCTCGAGATTTCTAATATAATGGCTGATATAAGCAGCCAGCGGGGTTAATATCGTTGCAACAGCAGCAGACAATATTTTACAAGAAAGATGCAAGACTAAAAAAAATTCTCATACAGTGAATGTAAAAACACAAGCAGTTAGTACTATGACCAACTCGACTCGTCTCTACGTTCAGTTGGATCAAGAAATTGCAATAACCTCAAAATAGAACATCTGGCAGAAAGTTCATCAAAAGGCAAAGGTAAATAATATATATATATTTTTTTATCACTGGTATCTAGGCATCTCGTTAACATAAGGAGACATTATATACAGTATTTGGTGTAAATATACTTATAGAAAATTACTGTGGAAGTTGAAAAATTATAAAAGCATCTCTATTTATTCAAACTTACTATATTTTGTTATAATAGTTTATATAATGTTATGGGTGTTTTTTATGACAAAATACCAATGAAAGGTTCTCAGGCAACTGACCTCCACAGGACAACTTCCCCCACTGGACAGTGTCCCCAGATATTTTCTTTTCCAAATTGTATTTCTGAAAATATAATGCCTACAGTGTAATCTCTAATTTAACTTAACCTAACCTAAATCTTTTTAAAGGACAATTCTTCTTATGGGAGAAGCAATGGGGAACTTAGCCAGTGGCAGTTGCCCGAGGTACCTTGCATGAAGGGTAGTTCTCCTGATACCCTATTTGAAGGGGTGAGCATGAGCAGAGTATATTAATGCTCTACTGCATCCCCATTTCGTCAGGTGTAGCACCCAGCATGTTATGGAGTCCTATTAAAAAATATGTTTTCATTTTTCTTATTTTTAACTAGAATAAACTTCAAATGAAAGAAATCATATCCATCCATTTTAGTAAAACTTCTTAGGAAACCTCATTTGCATTGTAGCATGGCTCAGCTCCTTGCATAAATGTATGAAATATCAATACAAGAAAGGTAAGAGACACTTATCATATAAATATAAAACCTCTTAAGGGGGGACAGCAATACCTCAGCTGTATTCCCTGCATGTCATAAAAGTTGACTAAATGGGGCAAAGCATGGCACCGAGAGTCCAATCCTTTCTATTTTCCTCCCACAAAGAGTCAAGATTTTGCTTTTACTCAGCCACCCCCTTATAAGAGGTAATGTGGCTTTTGTATATGGACAGATAGATAAATACAAAATTCCCCTGAGGAGAGATAATAATACCTCAACTGTGTTCCTGTGCATTTTGTAAAAGTCGACTAAATGGCGCAAAGCAAGAGAACTGGGAATTCCCCCTATTGTATTTTCTTCCAACAAAGAGTTCTCATTTGTTTTTTGACTCAGCCACCCCGTTTATGAGGGGGATTATGTCTTGTGTATATAGATATAGGTTAATGTAGAATCCCCATTATGGGGGGGAAGCAAGAATACCACTTCCATTTTCCCTGCCTTTTGTAAAAGTTGACTAAGTAGGACAGAGTGAGGGCACTGGGAATCCCCCCTTTTATATTTTTCTCCCACAGGGAGTAGAGGGTTTTGACTTTGACTCGGCCACCCCCTTCCTTATAAGGGGAATTATGGCTTTTGTTTATAGATAGATAAATACAACTAGTGATAGGCACTTACACTGACAAAAAATTTATGGTTTGTACTCTTTATATAACCAGGAGGCAGCAGTTGCTCAGTGGTAGAGCATTCAAGTTGAGATTGTCAAGCCTTACTAACACGGGTTCGATGCCATCGTTGGGCGTTACAAAGGGTATCTGGCCTTAGTTCCCAAGCTCCAGTATATCTGTCCACTCTGCCTCGAATGTAGCCTTTGTGGCACATAAAGCGGTAAAGAAATAATTATTTGTATATCCGTCAGTAAAGTTAATGTTGTGCATTTAATAGCAAGTCCAAGCTGCAAGTTCTCCTGTATACATTGACTCCTCTTATTAGACTATATCACAGAGGCACCACTGCTCTTGCAAATACATGCATGTATTAACTCCTCATAGCAAAGTAGATCACTGTGGAACCATTGCTCAAGCTGATATATTCATGTTCCAGTGTTATTTATTGTAATGTAATTGGGCTTAGCCATTTCACAAATTTGTAACAGTGCAGAAATTATAGAAAATACTGATGATAAGCCCTGCTTTCTTACTACAGGACTATTATTTCAAATATTAGTTTAATCTTCCAGTACCAGTCTTTTAGTACACTCATAAATTTGGTATTCAGATTTGTACATGAAATTTCTCAATAATTATCAAGCACTGTACTGTATATTGTTATTTTTTATTGCATTAGATTTACCTTTTGTTTTATTTCATGTACTTCTTTCTAATAGCTAGTATATAGTTTCCAATACAGTTGTCGTTAGCCATATTATGTGGCTATTAATCCTCAGTTGAATGGGGGTGGTCACAGACAGGTCGGATTTTGGGAGATAAGGCATGCTCTTCCTGACACCCCTCGGTGAGCTTGATTGCGCGTTTGTCACTTACCAAGTCGAATAGTGGGCCTTATATATTTCTATTTTCAACATGACACCATATACAAATGGAAGCTTCAGAGTGGCTGCAACTGAACATAAATTGGGAAGGAGTAGGCAGCTGCTGTGCAGAAAAAAAAAAATCGTTTAAGGTTGAGATTGCCGAGCCCTTGTAACTTTATCTCTCTATTTCATCTCTTGTAATGTGCAGGGTTGTTGCTGATAATGTCTCCTAAGCAGCATGGCTGAACATTTCAGAGTTCTTAAGGAAGGCCATTGCCGATTCAGAACTTCTACAGAGCTCTCAGGGGATGTAGGTAGTGTTTGTGGCATATGTGGTGTTAAGCAGTGCTCTCTCTCCTAAAGTGTTTTTGGGTTTCTCTCAGTGTATCCAGATAAAAGGAATCTTTGATCAATGACTGCTGAAGTCATTTCTCGGTGCAGAAAAAAATTGTTGGTGTGTGATGCGTTGAGAGATAGGTAGTTGCCAAAATGACCCAAGCTTTTCCAAAGTTCTCATGTCTCGTGAGGAGCAAGGGTAGGTTCACAAATGATGTCTTCTGTCTCCCCCCACCACAAGGGATATATACTTTTTATGTTATGTGGTCTTTACAAAGTTATTTAAGTGACATTTTTGCCTTGTTCAGATCTTTTTCAAGCAGCTCTTGAGCTTTGTTCATCAGAAATTTTATGCTTGTATTTGCCTCTCTTCAAATTCATGTTGCTTGGTGTTTTGGAGTTCTAATTTCTTGATACCATGGGCAAGTAGTAAGAAATTAGTGAAACCCATGTTCGAGCCCAACACAACGCAGTATGTTAGAAAGAGATCCAGCCTTATTTCCCCAGTTCCATTCTGTCTGTCCACCCCATGTTGGGAATTGAATGTGACATAAAATGGCAAACGATGAGTAAGTACTGTAGTTAGAAAATAAGATTTTTGTGATTCATTCCCTTCAGAAACTAGCTTCTAGCCTACGGGAACTGAGTGATGGGGAATCGTACACTGTGCCTGAATATACACCAGGGAACAGAGATTGCATCCCCTTCTTGAATATAAACCTGTCAAAAGGGTAAGATTATAATTAGTGTTGTAAAAGTTGACTACATCGGACGGAGTGAGAAGACTGGGAATTCCCTCATTGTATTTCCTTTCACAAAGAGTCAAGTTTTTTGCTTAGACTGAGCCACTCCCTTTATAAGAGGGATTATGGCTTTTGTATACTATATAGATAGACATGCCAATCCATATCAAAGCAAACCATAATGTGGTATAGTTTATTCAGGTAATGATATGATGTACAATTACTAGTGTCCCTTCTGTTACATAATAATGATGTTTTTGTTTGGTTTCACACACACTGACAACCTTCTTGTTAGTATGTCAGGGAGTTATCAGCTTATAGCAGAATGTTTTTGCACTGATTTTTATAGTAGTTTTCAAAAGATTCTTGATAAAGTTGCAGTGATCAATGAAATATTCATTACAGACTGTAATAGATATACGATCTGTTCTTTATGAATACGTTTTGGGAGCTGTCATATCATAACCAGTAGAGTGCTCGACTCGGGAGGTGACAGACCCGTGTTTGAGCCCACATCAGGGTGATAGGAAGGGTATCCAACCTTAATTCCCAAGCTTCAATCTTTTTGTGTCTATCCTTGAATGTGGACTAATATTGATATAAAAAAAAAATTGCTTATGAGTGCCATTTAATGTTCTTGTATTGAAGTATTATTTTATAATATTTAAGGATGGAAAGAAATTAATACTGTACTACCATTGTATTTTTGATGGAACAGTGCTGCGTACTTATGCATTTAATTGTTCCTAATTTTTATTTTCCAATTCTACCTCCTATTGTTGGGATTTGAACAAGGGACCTGTAGAACAGGTGTCTATAGTTTAGTGCGTTGAGCCACAGAGGTCTACTAAGCTGTTGACTCCTGATCTATAGGTCCCAGGTTCGAATCCTGTCAGTAAAAGCTAAAATATTTGGAGTGTATTTTTATGAGTCTTATGAGGTATCTGAAAGGTATTGAGAGTGAAGTGATGATGGAGGTGCATACCCTCTTCCCCTGCTTTGCTTTTTTCTCCACAAACTAATCAGAAAAAGATGCAAAAGGACCAAGGTGGAAAGGCCTCTGTGGGTGTATAGCATCATGAGTCAAGAAAACCAGGTTTCTTCAATTTATTTATGACCTGAGTATCATAGTGATTAGAGCACATGACTTGGGAAGTGTTGAACCTGCGTTCAAGCCCACTTTGGGGCGATAGGATGGTATATTTTTTGAAGAGAGTTCAATTCTTCAGTGTTTATTATTCAACATCCCAATGATGGAGGCTTGAAGCCTTCAAAAGCTCACACACCAAGTCTACAAGAAACTTGTGTCAAAGAATCATTTCTGGAGAAGAGGATTGTAGCCTCATTGGGAAATGCTTCTTTCTATAGTCTTCAACTGGTATATTCGAAGTGATCCCTCGTTTATCGCGGAGGTTCGGTTCCGGGGGGACCACCCGCGAAAGGTGAAAATCCGCAAAGTAACAGCACCATATTTATTACAGGTATGTTACGTTTATTTTTACCTTTACTGTATAAACCCTCCCTGCACGGTTAACAGCTCACCCTTTACTTTATTAATAACAGTGTGCAAGCGTAAATTTATATGAGTGTGACAGGTAAGTTTACCATAAATAACAGTGCGTAAGCGTAAAGCTATATGAATGTGCTAGGTAAGCTTACCGTGAATGACATGATGATGACGTTTACGTACCGCACAGCCATTGGCGGCCAACAGCCAAGAAACTTCTTCCTTCCTTCAGCATATCTAACAGTTTTACCTTATCTGCTATGGTCAACATCTGCCGCTTAGACTTACTACCAGTAGCCTTAGAAGATGAAGGACGCTTGGGCGGCATTGCAGGGGTTGAAAAAGTTTCACAAAAAACACAAGCACAATGTATTAATAGGCACGAGAAAGGCACATACGTGAGTAAGTGAATGGGTGAGGCGAGACAATGGAAGATTCTGGGAGAATCAAGCTTCAATCAAAAAGCCAATCAGACCCCAGTATACAGAACATAATTCTGTCATTCGTCGTCTCCTACCCATCAGCCAAAAGCATCCCATGTACTATCTCACGGTAGGGGCAACCCTTTGCATTTTCCGAAACTCCGATACCAGTATCGTATTTTATACGGTGCAATACTGTGAGTTACATGTTTAAATTTATGTTTTTTACTGTTTTTTTTATTTGTAGGCTAGGAAATACTTTTCTTTATAAATAAAATAATGAAAATACTGGATATTTTAATATGTACTCTCACGTATGTGCGACCCTTTGCGTTTTCCGAAATGCCGATACCAGTATCGTATTTTATATGATGCAATACTGTGAGATACATGTTTAAATTTATGTTTTTTTACTATATTTTACGGTTTTCTTATTCTTAGGCTAGGAAATACTTTTTTTTATTAATACAATAATGAAATTACTGGAAATTTTAATATGTACTATCTTACGTAGGTGCGACCCTTTGTGTTTTCCGAAATGCCGATACTGGTATCGTATTTCATATGATGCAATACTGTGATTTACATGTTTAAATTTATGGGTTTTTTTTACTATATTTTACTGTTCTATTATTCTTAGGCTAGGAAATACTTTTTTTATCAATAGAATAATGAAAATACTGGAAATTTTAATATGTACTATCTCACGTAGGTGCGACCCTTTGCGTTTTCCGAAACACCGATACCGGTATCGTATTTTATATGATGCAATACTGTGAGTTACATGTTTAAATTTATGTTTTTTACTGTTTTATTATTCTTAGGCAAGGAAATACTTTTTTTTCTTCAATAAAATAATGAAAATGCTGGAAATTTCAATATGTACTATCTCACGTAGGCACGACCCTTTGCATTTTCCGAAACGCCGATACCAGTATCGTATTTTATATGTTGCAGTACTCTGACTTACATGTTTAAATTTATGATTTTGCTATTTTTTACTGTTTTATTATTCTTAGGCTAGGAAATACTTTACTTTATCAATAAAATAATGAAAATACTGGAAATTTTAATATGTACTATCTCACATAGGTGCAACCCTTTGCATTTTCCAAAGTTTTAATATTTTCACATATCATGGATTCCCGTGATATACCCAGAAAATCTGAGATATAAAATACATATGCTCGCCATAAAAAACCCGCGATGCTCTGAATTCGCAGAAGGTGAATCGTGATATAGCGAGGGATTACTGTGTGTATATATATACAGTGCCCCTTCCATTATCACGAAGGTTCGGTTCCGGGACCCAGCGCGAGACAGGAAAATCGCGGAGTAGGATCAGCCTATATTTACATAGATATTTTAATTTATTTTTACGTTTACACCGTATAAACTGTATAAGCCCTCCCAGTACTGTTAACAAACCACCCTTTACTTCGTAAATAACAGTATGCAAGCGTAAATATATATGACATACTCATGTACATAGGTATTTTACAATTATTTTTACATTTACTGTATAAACCCTCCTTGCACTGTTAAAAAACCACCCTCTACTTTATAAATAACAGCATGCAACATAAATTTATATGTATGTGATAAGTAAACTTACCTTATCTGTTAAGGTTAACATTTTCCTTTGCCGCTTAGGTTCACTACCAGAAGCCTTAGAAGATGAAGGATGCTTGGGAGGCATTGCAAAGGTTAAAATATGCAAGTAAAAAAATCACAAGCAAAACGTATTAATAAGCACAACGTGAATGGCACACACGTGAGTTAGACTGAACGAGCCTTTGTCCGAAACGCTGATAGCGGTATCGTATTTTACATGTTGCAATACTGTTAGTATTTATGTTTTTACTATTTTTTACTGTTTTATTATTCTTAGGCTAAGAAATACGTTTTTTTATCAGTAAAATCATAAAACTACTGGAAATTTTAATATATATGCTAGCTCACGTAGGTGCGACCCCAATACATTGTAGGCTATCGGACACTATCTCACGTAGGTACGAGCCTTTGTCCGAAACGCTGATACCGGTATCGTATTTTACATGTTGCAATACTGTTAGTATTTATGTTTTTTACTATTTTTTACTGTTTTATTATTCTTAGGCTAAGAAATATGTTTTTTTTATCAATAAAATCATGAAACTACTGGAAATATAAATATATATGCTAGCTCACGTAGCTGCGACCCCAATACATTGTACGCTATCAGACACTATTTCGCATGATGCAATACTGTGAGTTATACTGTACTCATACGTATATCTAAATTTATGTTTTTTTACTATTTTTTACTGTTTTATTATTCGTAGGCTGGGAAATACATTTTTTTTTTATCAATTAGATAATGAAATATTTTTTTTTTTTTTTTTTCAATAAAAAAATGAAAATACTGAAAAAAAAAATTTATTTTAATATTTTTGAATATACCCCAAAAAGAAAAAATTGCCAAAAAAAAATCGTGGTACAGTGAAAACGCGATCCAGCAAAGGATCACTGTATATATATATATATATATATATATATATATATATATATATATATATATACAGTGTTCCTTCGATTATCGCGAAGGTTCGGTTCCGGAACCTGGTGCGAGACAGGAATTTCGCGGAGTAGGATCACCCTATATGTACATAGATATTTTTATTTATTTTTACGTTTACACTGTATAAACTACAAACCCTCCCTGTACTGTTAACAAACCACCATTTACTTCATAAATAACAGCATGCAAGCATAAATTTATATGAAAGTGATAGATAAACTTACTGTGAATGAGATGGTAATGACATGACTTAATCATGTACACAGGTATTTTACAATTATTTTTACGTTTACTGCATAAACCCTCCTTGCACTGTTAAAAAAACACCCTTTACTTTATATATAACAGCATGCAACGTAAATTTATATTTACGTGATAGGTAAACTTACCTATATCACTAGAAAACCATTAAAAGCACATGAAATCATGTTACTGTACAATAAATAAAAACAAAAGCTCATAAAATTATGTTATTGTACAATAAATAAGAATAAAAGCATATAAAATCTTATTAAAATTCGTACAGTAGTTCCAATATCTACCGTTAGGCGTCGTCACTCGTCATTCCCGCGAAACCGCTATTGTTTTGAATTGATTAGTTTATGCGTGGTATACGTCTGTTTATCGGCTACTCTCATTCTCATTCATTTGTGACCTTATATTTTGCCCCCATGGCACCTAAGAAAATTCCTAGTGCAAGTGCTAAGCGTCATGCTATAACGCTGGACGATAAACTGGCTTTGATCGGATATTATGAAGAAAATTGAAAAAAAGCATTAAGAACAAACAGCAAAGTTATTTTTAATATAATATTGTCAGGGAAATAGTGTGTGAGGGTGCATCAGCTGATACGGAAGTAGCAAAACGTTTGCCGATAGAGGTTCGTTCTCCCGCATCCTACTCCTCTTCTACTGCTTAATGCAATCGGATATTATGAAGAAAATTGAATAAAAGCATTAAGAACAAACAGCAAACATATTTTTAATATAATATCGTCAGGGAAATATCGTGTGAGGGTGCATCAGCTGATACGGAAGTAGCAAAACGTTTGCCGATAGAGGTTCGTTCTCCCGCATCCTACTCCTCTTCTACCGCTTAATGCAGTCAGATATTATGAAGAAAATTAAATAAAAGCATGAAGAACAAACAGCAAACATATTTTTAATATAATATTGTCAGGGAAATAGCATTTGAGGGTGCATCAGCTGATACGGAAGTAGCAAAACGTTTGCCGATAGAGGCTGTTCTCCCGTATTCTACTCCTCTTCTACAGCTTAATGCGATCGGATACTATGAAGAAAATTGAAAAAAGCATTAAGAACAAACAGCAAACGTGTTTTTAATATAATATTGTCCGGGAAATAGCGTGTGCGGGCGCATCAGCTGATATGGAAGTGTGACAAAACGTATGC